AGGAGAATGGTATCATAATTTGTTTTTAATATTTCTCCATTTTGTGGCTCCCCTGAGAATGTGGTCACACAGTATAAACGACTTCTGTGGCGCTGAAACTTACTTTGCTCTTCCAGTCACCTTGTTTCCTTGACAAAAAGTACTCAAAAAGCAAAGATTCTCCATCAGTTGTTCCGCACATTCAGCTGTGGATACCCATTCATCTCTTGCTTTTGAAGGTGGTGAGATTTTTGATCTGAAGGCATCTGTGCAGCAGGAGCAGGCATACTCTGCACCATGTTCATGACGATGATGTAATGATATATTGCGTCCAACTCTCACTTCTTTTTGCTTGACATGGAATATTTTTTGTGCTTCTCAAATCTTTCACAGGTTTTCATAACAATTTTTCAAGTTTTAATTGGTACTTGTCTAGCTTTTCCTTTGTTGCCTACATGGAGAAGAAAAAAGGGGCAGGGAATAAAAAAATTCCAGGAAAACTTCTCCTTTTCCCCAAAGAACTTAGTATTTGAATTTCCATTTTCAAGCATGATCTCATCAAGATTTCCAAGCTTCACAGTCTCCCCTGTTGTGATAGACTGCCAGGGATGGACACACCAAGAATCTTTATTGCTTTGGAGAAGCTCTCATTCTTTTTCCTGGCACAGACAATCCATTAAATGGACAAAATATAAACGTGGAAAGATGATTACTCTGTCACAAGATAACACAATTACAGGGTTCTCTGTATTTAATGCAGGGCTGATTTGGTAGCTGAACAGAATACTGAAACCTATTCTGTTATTGTTCCAGTCTCTTCTTACAGAGGTTTAAAGAGGTCTAGTCTATTAAATTTAGGGTCATAAATGTACATGCAGGTAACCAGAAATTAAGATGAGACTGTTCTACTTGAAAATGCACATATGTGTAAACACTGTGGTCTTGAATTAATTGCAATATGTAAACTCTCATAAATTTTTTGTTGGCAGATATTTATGTACGTGTGATCAGTGGATTGTTTTGCAGTTATGTTAGAAAATGTATTGCATATTAAACCATTCAAAATTATTTTCTGTATATATTTTAGCGCTTCTTTGCCTGTTTTTTTATTTATTTTGTTCTTAACTGATAAATTTAATTGATTAGTTGGTACATTTTTTAATTGATAAAACATTGGGGTTTTGATGCTGATGTCATTTGACTTTCACTTGGCTAATAGAAAGCAGGTTATAATGTATATATCAGCCTATTTATTGTTAACTTTTCCTGTACATTTTCAGAGACAGATGTATATACTTTTGGACTTGGACAGTATGGGCAACTGGGACACGGTACTTTTATTTTTGAAACTTCAGTACCAAAGTCTGTGAAACACTTGAGGAGGCATAAAATATGTAACATTACATGTGGGGAAAATCATACTGCTGTAATTGCAGGTATGTAAGTGAAAAATTCTGAAATGCACTTCCAGTGACTCTCTGTTACACTGTAAAAGCTTTCTTTATAAAATTAGCAGTAGAAGAAGATGTATGCAAACTTACTAGTTCTACAGGTTAAGTGAGTTAGTGAGAAAGCCAGATTTGATACTGGGAATTTCTGATTCACAGCCATGCTATGCATAGTTCTATAGATGGTATCTCTTGGGGAAATGTAACCTCATAATGATGCCTTGCTAACAAGTATTCTTGTTTAGAAGCCTTCGTGTTGCTATACAATTTCAATCTTAGTGTTTTCTTCTTGTTTTTTTTTCCAAAATTGTCTAGGCTAACTCTAATCTCTGACATTACTTTGACTGAAAATATATATATTTGAACCATATTTATCTGTTGAAAATCTGAACATAATCGTTCAGGTTTTGCTTTTGGAAGAGAAATATTCCTTACTTGCAGCCTGTTACTTTTATTGTAATGGTTTTGTCCTGATTTTGTACTGAACCTTTGTTATTAATAACATCCTTTTTTGTTCTATATACAGAGAATGGCCTCATGTTTACTTTTGGAGATGGGCGACATGGCAAGTTAGGACTTGGAGAAGAGAATTTTACAAATCAGTTTGATCCCACTCTGTGTTATAATTTCTTGAGGTTCACAGTCCTTTTGGTAAAACTTCTGTTCATGCAAAATGTTTATATTTTTATGAAACATGGTATTAATGGGAGTTGAAATCTCATAGAATTATTTTTTCTACTGCAACTTTTAATTAGTAGACAACACAAATGGAAAGAAAAAGGAAATTATATTTACTTATCACACTGTTTATTTAGTTTAGAATGTACTTGGCTTGGACTACACGTATAGACTGCTTTATAGGGTTTTATTCAGTAGGGTGTGCTATAATGTTTTAATCTGTAGAACTGACGGTAGCCTATAAAATTAAATACTTGTTGCTCTTAGGTTGTTGGCAGTAGGGGGGAAACTAATACCTGTTCTGAAAGCACCAGGTATGTCTTTTTAATTTTAACAATTATTTGAGCAGTGGGATATTTATTAAATCTTAAGAAAATTTGAGCAGTTGCTTTTTTGAATCCAAATGGGATTCAATCCAAAACCTCTGTTTCCTGAGGTGTTTAAGAAATAAATATCACAGAATTGCCAGCATCAAAAATACAAACGTGACTCAGGATTGAGTAAAATGTGGGATGAAGTCTGTGGCTGACTTCTGTTTGTTTACTGGACTTAGAGTTTAAGGAAGTTTTATCAGACGTGGTAAGAGATTTAAACTTTTTAGAAAGTGAAACCTCTGATCTTTATGTAATTATACTTTGTTGGAGGGTGCAGGACACTGCATTACATTTTGTGGATTTTGTGATAAAATATCTAGGTTTCTGTCACTGAAGTTATCAGTAGTGCCCACATTTGACTTGCATAAAAATAATTATCTCCAATCCCTTCAAAATCAGTGGAAATATCTTTGCTTTTTTCTGTATCAGTAATTTGATAGACTTGTCTTGTGTTCTGTTCAATACAAATCTGTTGTATTTAAGTAAGAAGAAATGAACATAGATCACTAGTCATTAATAATTGTAATTATCACTTTTATTTTGCCAACGTCATTAGGAGCTAAATTTGAAGCAATTTAACATCTCTTATTATGTTTTTCTTATAATCTAAGTCCCTGGGGATGATTGTAAGAAACCTAGATCCTTGTGTTGATACTTGCAAATGAAATAAGCAGACCTTTTTTTGGTGCTATAGGTTGCTTGTGGTGGTTGTCACATGCTAGTTTTTGCTGCTCCAAGACCTAAAGGATCTGAGGAAATACTTTTAGAAGATTTATATGAGAGCCGTTTGACTGCTACTATCTCTAAAATGAGCAGAGACTCACTACTAACAAACACCTTACAACTAACATCGGCACGAATGCGACGTCGAGAGAGGGTAAATTCAGAGCTGTTTAGAGTTGCCATACTTGTGTTAGGAAACAAAATAACTTTTTAAACTAAAATCACAGCACATACTCAGCAGATAAATATATCACCTTAAAATATGTGTTTAATTTTAACGTATAGAAGAAGAATGAATATCTAGCCTGGTCCCAAAATTGATGCAGGTAAAAGATAGGTATTGGTCAGATCTTACTTGTTTATTTCTATGAAAACGACTGAAATTGGTTTAGTGTTTTGGGTTTTTTTATTCCAAAAAGCAGAGCCTGTTCCTTTGCATTTTTGAAAATATCTTAAAATATTAAAAAAAGAAAGAACAAGAACTTTTTTTGGCATTCCCTCGGAGTCCTTGAGTAGATTAAAAAAGTTTATAGTTTATAAAATATCAAAGTGGAAAGTTTCACAGTCAGCTTTAAATGATCCTAAGATCCTGTAGCTACTGAAAATAGTCGTTTCTTCTCCTTTATCTCCATTACACATTCCATGTAATTTCTTTAGCAGCACAATGAGTTGGATCATTTCACTTACCTGTCTGAAAACTAACTCTACTACAAAACCACATTTGTTTTGTAAAAAATATATGTGATGCTATGGATTAAGTAGCTCAGTGTTATTTGAAAAAAATAGTATTTTCATTTTAAATAAAAATCAAAATTCTTTTTGTCCTTTATGTATATTTTAAGACAATTGGAGATTATTGTGTAGAAACAACCTAAAATATCCCACTAAATCTCTTAACTTTTTAAAAATAATTAACATATTCAGTAAATTTTGTTTATGCTTTGCATACAAAGTTACAACACTGTATCATCAACTAAAGGAAAATACCACTATCAAGTGTGAGAGATTGCTTAAATTTTCTTCTTCTACTTTTATTCTCAATATTTTTTTTTTAATCTTCTAAAGGAAAAGTCACCAGAACAGTTTGTTCGAATGGCACGAACTCTGCCTCCACTGGGAGAAAGCTTCTTAAAATCTTCATTGCCTGTGACTAGCAACACTAGCCCACTCTGTTTTGCTGCAACAAGTCTTCCTAAAGCTGAACCTGTGAAGGATAGGGACCATAAAAAAGGTGAAGTGTCCTCACATTTTCTTGCTGTTTTCTGAGAATTATGTAGTTTGGCTCTCATCATTCATAAACAAATGTTCAGTTTAAGTTCAGTCTTACCTCAAGAGGGTCTGGCAGAATACAGACATGAAAGTTGAGAAATGCACACAAGAAATTGCCTCACCCGCAGTTCATGTTTGGAAAACTCACTTCAACATTGAGGAGGGTAGAGTGAAAAACAACTTCTGCATTGTACCTGATGTTCCTCAAGCCTGTAGAAGTATGACTTCAGAATAATGCTGTAAGATTAGTAAGAACTTCCTCCATTTTCATGAAAAAAAAAAAGAATTACAGAAAAACATTTGATTAGGAACAGTTGTAGAGACACAGAAAGGCCTACAAGAGACCTTGGATAAGAAAAGAGGTCTACCAATTCCTATACAGCTTTCTTCTTCACTTGGAAAAAAGTAGTCTTCACTTTCTATTATCTAAGATAATAAGGATTTGCCATATTCTAGATAATGCAAAAACCTGGATAACAGTGATGCTGATGCAGTGCTGGACTTTTGCACAGATTCTCTAGAGCAGTTCTGGAGTTCATCTCGGTTCCTGGGCATGTGTGATTTCCTGGGAAGATCAGTGCTGAAGCGTGCAGAATACAGTGCTTCTGTGTAAAAGTTAGCTCAGATTTATTGGAGAGTTAAATCCAATTTGAATATAATTAATTCAGTTAGAGTTAAGAAGATTATTTGTAAAGCTGCCAGCATGTCCATTAGCATTTCTGGTTCCAGGAAAGCAAGGCAGTGAAATTTGAATTGCCTTTAGAGTCTTCTGAGGCCTAAACCCACAGATTTGTGCCATATGAAACTTGTCAGATACCTGATGAGCTTGAGGTGAACTTGAAAATTATGTAGGTACATTTTTATGCATTGGAGTTAAATCACTGTCTCTCCATCCATTACACAGAAATGTGCAATGTAGATAATATGACTGCAGCCAATTTAGTCTGATTGGTACGCTATTAAAGAGATTATCCAAAAGAGCTTTGTCCTGTTTAGTATTTATGCTCTGAAAGCCTGCAAAAATGGTCAGAGATCTACAGTGCGCTCAGGACAGATTGCTGAGCTACCTCTAATGTTAATACTGACAAAAAGGACGTGGAAGTGTTTCTGTTGTATATTAGGCTGGAGGAATGAGGAATCTCAGGACTTCAGTCCTATGTCAGTAAAACAGAGATAATCTCTGTTTTACAAGAGTGGGGTGTTCTGTTTGCTTGTTGTTCATATGGTATTTGTTTACTTCTCCCTATTTTACCTTAAAGAAAAGAATCGTCAAAAAGATAAACCCGGTGAAGGCTCTGCAGAAGAAGATTCAGATAATGAAAATAATGACAGAAACCTTGGAGACACAACTGACATCCTAAATATGGTAATATATTCCACTAATGAATCTGTGATTCAATCGTTTTTATGCAGGGGAAGAACAAAGCAGCTAAATCATGTTTCAGGTTCTAGTACAGAACTCCTGGCTAGCCCAGAACATCATATGTGGCATGAAGTACTGACATACTGTTAAGTGAGCATGCATTTCATATCATCATTATCCAATGCTAAAGTTTGTTTTAATTTTCCAAATAATGTAATATGAGATTGAAGCAGTCCAAGTAGTGCAGCACCTCCCCATGCTTTAACTCTGGATATCAGAAAGAAAAGAACACTGGATACCACATGGTGATGTTTCTCTCTGATCTTCCTCATCTCCATGATTTTGAAGCGAGAGAACTGCAGGAAATGAAGCAGAAAGCTGTTTTTTCCTGTTCTGAAATGAGCTTTTTTTATTACAGGTGGATCATATTAATGGGAAGACCGAAATTCAGACTTTTGATTATTTGATGATCCCCAAGCATGTTCCTATGTATTTCTCTTCTTTAAAAAATATATTCACCCTGTCTCTGGTACATCTTTCCAAACATTTTGGTCTCTCAACAGATAGGGCATGTCCTGGCCTTGGATGCAGTGCACTGGTTTTGTGTTTTTTTTTTTTTTTTTTTTTTTTTTTTTTTTTTAAATTCAATGGAATGGAAACAAATGAGCAACTCACTGTGGACTCAGCTCAGGATACATTGTCAGTTATGCTGAAGGAATTGCACATTTTATAGGAATTATTACTTGTTTGTACTTAACAGTACTTAGTAATTTAACAATCTGTTTGTGCATACCATTTATTTAACAGTTATAAAACTTTATTTTTATTTACAAGAAAAAAGTCATTACAGGCTTGGGTAAGAGTGGCTGGAAAGCTGCTCGGCAGAAAAGGACTCGGGGATGTTGGTTGACAGCCAGCTGAACAGGAGCCAGCAGTGTGCCCAGGTGGCCAAGAAGGCCAAGAGCATCCTGGCCTGTATCAGGAATAGTGTGGCCAGCAGGACTAGGGAAGTGATCATCCCCCTGTACTCGGCACTGGTGAGGCCGCACCTTGAGTACTGTGTTCAGTTTTGGGCCCCTCACTACAAGAAAGACATTGAGATTCTGGAGTGTGTCCAGAGAAGGAAAACAAAGCTGGGGTGAGGGGTCTGGAGCACAAGTCTTACGAAGAGCAGCTGAGGGAACTGGGGTTGTTTAGTCTGGAGAAAAGAAGGCTCAGGGGAGACCTTATTGCTCTCTGCAAGTACCTGAAAGGAGTGGTAGTGAGGTAGGGGTTGATCTCTTCTCCCAAGTGACAAGTGATAGGACAAGAGGAAATGGCTTCAAGTTGCACCAGGGAAGGCGTAGATTGGATATTATGAAAAATTTCTTCACCAAAAGGATTATCAAGCATTGGAACAGGCTGCACAGGGAAGTGGTGGAATCGCCATCCCTGAAGGTTTTGAACAGATGGGTAGACATGGTGCTTTGGGACATGGTTTAGTGGTGGAACTTGGCAGTGCTAGGTTAATGGTTGGACTTGATGATCTTAAAGGTCCCTTCCAACCTAGACAATTCTATGATATACTGCATAACATGGCCTTCATTATGTATAACGCATTGCACACTTTTTTTGCTAGACTTCCTTCTCCTTTTTGTTTTTGTACCCATTGTGAATCAATTTAAAAACATTTGTCAGAATGGAACAGTAATGAATGGAACAAGGTAGATATTGTCTACCTTGACTTTGGCAAGGCTTTCAACACTGTCTGCCACATCATCCTCACAGGCAAGCTTAGGAAGTGTGGGTTAGATGAATGGACAGTGGGGTGGATTGAGAACTGGCTGACAGATAGAGCTCAGAGGGTTGTGGTTAGTGGTGCAGAGTCAGTTGGAGGTCAGTAACGAGTGGTGTCCCTCAGGGGTCACTACTGGGTCCAGTCCTGTTCAGTATATTCATTAATGACCTGGATGAAGGGATAGAGTGTACCATCAGCAAATTTGCTGATGACACAAAACTGGGAGGAGTGGCTGACACGCCAGAAGGCTGTGCTGCTTTACAGCGTGACCTGGACAGGCTGGAGAGTTGGGCAGAGAGAAACGTTATGAAATTCAACAAGGGTAAATGTAGGGTACTGCACCTGGGGAGGAATAACCCCATGCATCAGTACAGGTTGGGGGCTGACCTCCTGGAGAGCAGCTCTGTGGAAAGGGACCTGGGAGTCCTGGTGGACAACAGGATGACCATGAGCCAGCAATGTGCCCTGGCAGCCAAGAAGGCCAATGGCATCCTGGGGTGCATCAAGAAGAGTGTGGCCAGCAGGTCAAGGGAGGTCATCCTCCCCCTCTATTCTGCCCTGGTGAGACTGCATCTGGAGTACTGCGTCCAGTTCTGAGCTCCCCAGTTCAAGAAAGACAGGGATCTGCTGGAGAGGGTCCAGCAAATGGCTACAAAGATGATTAGGGGATTGGAACATCTCTCTTATGAGGAAAGGCTGAGGGACTTGGGTCTCTTTAGTCTAGAGAAAAGAAGACTGAGGGGGGATCTTATCAATGCTTATAAATACTTAAAGGGGGGGAGCCAGGAGGATGGGAGCAGTCTTTTTTCAGTGGTGCCCAGTGATAGGATGAGGGGTAATGGGCACAAGCTTGAGCATAGGAAGTTCCGTCTTAACATGAGGAGGACCTCTTTACTTTGAGGGTAGTGGAGCACTGGAACAGGCTGCCCAGAGAGGTGGTGGAGTCTCCCACTCTGGAGACACTCAAAACCTGCCTGGACGCTGTCCTGTGCATTCTGTTGTAGGTGACCCTGCTCTGGCAGGGGGGTTGGACTAGATGATCTCCAGAGGTCCCTTCCAACCCTGACCATTCTGTGATTCTGTAATTCAAAAAATTCTGTCCAGCAAACTTGTCAAAGTACAAAGAAAAATGATTGCTCTTCTTGAATGAAAGAAAATAATCTGTTACAGCATACTTGATTCAATTTTTCTAAACAACATATATCTTACTGACAAGTGCGACAACAGGAGAAAAAACCTTTAGTATCATAATGATGATACAAATTTTGGGGAGTTGGAGACTAGAACTGTCTGTGCTCACTGTGTTGAAAACCAATATGGTGGTTAAAGCATATGCAGTTAACAAACAGCAGCAGAGAACATTATCTTGTCGTTTGGAGTATATGGGAAGGGATGACCAATAGCTCACTATACTTGCCCACCTAGTAGTATTCTACGTTGCCTTGCCTTTTCTTTTTTTGCTTTATATAGAAGAGATAAAGGCATTAGATTCCAACGAAAATTTCTGCTATATAATGTTTCTTTGAAGGTGTTCTTTCAAGGCTGTGGTATCAAACTGGATGTTAAGTTGAAGGTTGTGATGATAAGGGAGTAAGGTGGTGTATTTGTAGCCACAACTTCACGGTGAGTGGAAGGTGGATCTAAAATGTGCTGGCAGGCTGTAAGAGGGCATGTAGCTTTCAGTCTGTACAGACAATTTACATGTTGACATCTAAGCTCGTTACCGCTCTCTATAAGGAGTAAATGAGTGAGCTGAAATGAAATAGGTGAGTTGAGTGATTATACAGATTTGTCCCAACCTGACTATGCAATAGTATTAAAATGTCCAATAGCTCTTTCTAGTAGAACTGGGCTTTGATGCTGCTGTTCCTATTAGTTATATTTATTTTTTTTAACTGAGATCTTATTCTTTGCAGACACATGCAATGAAACTGAATCCCAGTGACCGGTCCTTAAAATTATCACCACTCCAAAAACAAAAGGTACTGTAACTAATTTTTTATATATATATATACTTATATTGATGTTTAAAAGTTTTATAATTCTTGTATTATCCTTGTACTTTATTGTTTTATTTTGAGTTTTAAAAAAGCTAGGCAAATTTTACAGGCCTCCTCTTGTTGATTTTCTGAATATCCACAAGGTAAAATTATAAGAAGCTGACAGAAGTCAGAGAGAATTTGTGCATGCACATAGAACTCCTCATATTCAGCATAGTTTGAGATGAGAGTATATAATACTTAACCAGTTTAAGGAACAAAAGACTGTCATATACACTTCGTAACTTATGCTGATAACATACATGTCTACTGGTTTGTTTATATTAAAATATTTTAATTGACTTTTGGGACACAATGTAAGTAAAGATTTTATTTACAGAAATTCACCATGGAGTATATTTAAAGGAGCAATAATACTGGTTTTAATTATGAAATTAAAATACTTTTGTATTATCTTTCTATTTTACCCCTGAAGTGATCCCAGCATTTCAGCATTTTGGTATATTTAGTTATAATTTTCTTTTATATTGAAAAAATTATTCTGCAGAATTTGTTAAATAAGAGTAAAATTTCAAGCAGAAAGACAACAGATTTTCAGACTTATTAGAAAAAGCTTAACAGTGAGTGCATCAAAAGATTTCCCAAGGGGAAACGTGGAGGAAGGTGTGAGAAAACTGTAGGTTTTTCCTTCTGTTTGCACAGCCTTACACATTGTATGTGCTCTAGCTTGTGAGCCACGATACTGGCTGCACACTTCTTGTATCCACTTTGAGTGCTTGGATAGTTAGAAAGGAGTAGTAGTTTGTTTATTATCAACAGAATGTTACGTTCTTCTAATATGTGCACTTGTAAATTCATTTCATGTAACAGACTCTACCTGTTATGCTATCTTTTAGTCCACTCATACAAATTGTTTCTTTTCTTGTTCAGATATTTTTGTAACCTTTTTCTTTTGCTGTCATTTGTCCTTAATGCTTTCCTTCTTTCTTTTTGATTTTCTGCTTCTCATGTGGAATAGAAGAACAATAAAAATGTGAAACTGAAAAGAGATGGTAAGGGTGGGGTGAAAAACGAGGATTCTCATTTCATGAAGGAGGGCTCAAAATTAGACTCTGTCTCTTTACAAAAGCAGTCTTCACTTTCGGAATCACCGGGACAAGATTTAGAAAAATGTCGTGCCTTTGTAGGGAAGCCTGTGGCCAAAAAAAAGACAATGAAAAGTAAATCTGAGCATGCACAAAGTGTTATAACTTTGAAAAGTGGTGCTCAACAAATTACGAGGGACAAATGCAGATTAGTGAAAAGGGAAAAAGAGTATGTGGAAAATCCTGAGTTTGTCAGAGAGGAAGTAACTTACAATCGTCCCACTGAAAAACAAATTCTGACTGAAAAAACAAATTCTTCCAATAAAACCTCAAAAGCTGTTAAATCTAAGCAATCCCTTAAAATAGAGGTACTTCCTTCTGCATCCAGGGATCAGCCTCAGACTGAATCATTAATTGTACAAAAATACAATCCTATTAAAAAGCAAGGAAGTCAAGAAGCCGTAGATAGTCAAAACAAAATCAAGGATGTTGAAAAATCTGATAAATGTGAAATCATATCCATCAGAGGAGAAGAAAGTAGTGAAGAGCAGAGGGGTTTTAAAAGAAAGGATCATTTTTTAAAACAAATAGCTGTATCTATGTCACCGTCTTCATCTGAGGAAAGTAGTAATGATCTTGCAAAATATGTACATAAGAGTAGGGAAAAAGAAGAGATCTACTATGGAGACAGAGAGATCCAGAAAGCAGTGAAAACAGTAGAAAATGCGAAAGATTCGGACTTAGAAAAAGACGACAGTGAGATTGAGGAGGTGCAAGCTGCAAACAATGAGAAAGAATATGTAGAAGAGACTGATATAAAAAGTCTGAATGAGGAAGAACCAAACTCTGAAGCTAAATCTGATGAAGACAGGCAGTTAGAAATTAAGAATGAAGAGGAATCTAATCAAGAGCAGGAGAGTGAAGGCAGTGAAAAGGGTGAAAGTGAAAAAGAAAAATTAGATGAAACAGTTGATAGTGAAGGTGAACTAGGGGAGGAAGAAGAAGAGAGTGAGGTTAAAAAAGATGAAGTTTCAGTAGAAAGAGATGAAGACAAAGAGGAAAAAAATAATGAGGAAGAAAATGAAGGAGAGAAATCACAGGCTGAAAGAGACAGTGAGAATGAGGGTGCAGAAGACACTGAAGAGATTAATCAGAAAAATGGCAAAGAGCAAGGAGATGAGGAAGGCAGGTTGATGGAGGAAGAAGAAATGCTGAGAGAGGGAGAAGAGGAGGATATGGAGGAGGAGGAGTATGCAAAAGAGGAAGATACTGAAAAAGAAAAGGAGGAACAGGTTAAAAGTGAGGGAAGAGATGAGAGTGAGGAAGGAGGTGAAGATAGAGAGGGGGAGGAAGAAAAAGAGGGAGAGGCAGAAGAGGAAGGAGAAGATGAAAAGGAAAATGAAGAAGAAAACAAAGAAAGGGAGAATGAGAAAGACAAAGAAGGTGAAGAGGAGGAGTTAGAAGAATCATTGGCAGGGAGGGAAGAAGAGGAATCCGAAGAACAGGAAGAGGAAGATGCAAATAGGAGGACTAAGGAGGTGGGGGCGGATGGAGTGGAAGAAGAAGAAGAACAGGGGGAGGATGAAGTGGAAGAGGAAAGAGAAGATGAGGAGGAGGAAGAGGAAGGAGCAGAGGCAGAAGCAAAAGGGGAGGAGGAGGAAGAAGATGAAAACAAGGAGGAAGAGGAGTGGGAAAATGAAGAAGAGGAAAGAGAAGATGAAGATGAGGGAGAGGGGGTAGAAGAAGATGAGGGAGAGGGGGTAGAAGAAGATGAGGGAGAGGGGGTGGAAGAAGATGAGGGAGAAGGGGAGGAAGAAGAGGCAGAATGGGGAAGGAGGAGAGGGGGAAGGGGAGGAAGAAGATAGGGAAGGGGCGGAAGAAGGGAGAGAGGGGGTGGAAGAAGATGAGGGAGAAGGGGAGGAAGAAGAGGCAGAAGGGGTGGAAGAAGATGAGGGGGAAGGGGAGGAAGAAGAGAGGGAAGGGGAGGAAGAAGAGGGAGAAGGGGAGGAAGAAGGGAGAGAGGGGGTGGAAGAAGATGAGGGAGAAGGGGAGGAAGAAGAGGCAGAAGGGGTGGAAGAAGAAGAGGGAGAAGAGGGAGTGGAGGAAGAAGAGGGAGAAGAGGGAGTGGAGGAAGAAGAGGGAGAGGAGGAAGAGGGAGAAGAGGAAGAGGGAGGGGACAAAGAAGAAGGGGAAGAGGGAGAAGAAGAAGAAAAGGGGGAAGAGGAAGAAGAGGAACAAGATGGGGAAGAGGGAGAGGGGGAAGAAGAGGATAAGGGAGAGGAGGAGGAAGAAGGAGAGGAAGAGGAAAAAGCAAAAGGTAAAAGAAAAAAAGATAGTAATAAGCTTCCACAAAAGAAAAGCAAAACCAGGAAGCCAGGGAAGGCAGAAGATACTGCTTTACCAAACAGCTCTAAACAGAAAATGAAGCCCAAACAGCATGTAGCAAATGGTTTACATAACTCAGAACAATTTTGGAACAATGTGCTACCTCATTATTTAACACTAAAGTAGCATAGACTACTGGAGATGCATTTTAAGCCTATTCAGAAAACTTTGGAACTATGGCAGATTGATTTTTATTACTTAATTTTTTTTTTTAAGTGTAATCAAAATATATTATTACGCATATACTTAAAGTGCCAATTTCTTGAAAAGGACTGAAGGAAATGTTTAGATTTGGAAAGCTTTTATGAGAGAAGTCATCTAAATCATTGATACAGTCATTTACAGAAGCATCTTTATCATGTATGACACTTAACTTTTAAGAAATTGCTGAGGAGGCAAAATGTGTTTGCCTCAATTAAATTATAATGTCATACTGGTAACGTGAATTATACATTGTAACAGTGTAATCTTCGTTTCCTTTGCATCAGATTTCTTAAGGTAATGCATTAGATTTAGTTGCAGGGTGGCTTACTTGTTAATGTGCCTTTTACCAAAGGAGTGTCAGTAAATTGTCAAAGATTTTTAAATTTTGGTATCACTCAGTATTCATTCCCTCTACTTCCCTTCTGTTCATATATTGGTAAAATGTTTGAGTACTCAGCGTAAATTAAAGAAAGGACAAGTTGCCAAATTTACATGGGTTGATAGATGGGAGGTAAAATGCCAATACAAGCCTGGGCTTTTTTGAAGGCCTAAAGGTTGACTTCTTATTTTGGTGTCAGCACACAATTATGTGCAAAAAGACAAATACAAATCTCAGAATTTGGCCTAGATTACATGAGAGTCAGAATGCATCTGTTTAGGGATAATTTTTGACTATCACATTTGGTGATTAGACGTAATTAGGAATTTGAAAATACACACCTGTAAAACATTATTTACTTGTGTATACTGTGCAGTAAACAAAAGATTCAATATCTGCCTACACAAGACTAAATTACATAAGCCATCTAACTCTAAGGTCCTCAAGGAGGGGAATATAGTTTGTTGCAGCGTGAAGTGTATACATGTGTTCAGGTTCAGAGCCTCAGCTTCTCCTCATTGGAGGAGATTTGTGTTTTTCCCTCCTAAAAATCACATTTTTGATCTCCAAAAAGAGGATGATGTAATAAACCAAGAAGCCAGATGGAGTAGTAGAGAACATAGCATGAAAGTGAATTCTTTTTGGAAAAGACAAAGTATGTTAATACTGCTGGAGTTTTCTTAAAATACACAAACAAATCTTGCGAATTATTTTTGTGACTTGGTAAGATACTGCGTTTCTGTTTCAGCTATTAGTGGTCAAACTGGCAAAAGAAGGGATAGAGACTTGTCATGCAACATTATTACTTAAATACTGTGGGTGGTCTCAGAAATTTTAGTAAACAGATCTCAGTATTGACAGTCTCTAGAAAAATAGTCATTTAAATCCTATTTGAAAATGAGGACAGGACAAGAAAGGAATCAAAATGAATAAATGTCATTCAATAAAAATGTTAATAGAATCAATACTTATGTTGAGATTATGAAACATTTTTAATGTTGTTTTGTGAGATACTGGCATTAAACTATCTTTGACACATTGTCTCCAGAATTTATTTTCTAAAAAGGCTGTGGTAGATTAATAGTTTGCCAGTAGATTCTAGTCCTGTTCAATCCTTCTTACCTCAGTCACCCCTTCCATATACTGCATTTGAAGGTAAGATCACTTTAAGTCACACGCCATATGCCCTAACTATAACAAAAAGTTAGTCCAGTGACTGTATTTTGTCCCTGTGAAATATGTTTCAAGCTTTGGGATTCTCTGGAGTACATTGTCTTGACACCGGCACGTGTAAGTCTTTGGAAAAGGCTAAGTATGCTCGTGTTCTGATAAAGTGGAAAATTTTGACAGTTAAATGCACTTCCCCAGAAAACAGTTCTAACAATGAAGTCCTCAGTTATTTCGCAGAAGTGCTGCGTTATCACTGAACTGCTGTGAAGATATTTGCATTTGAAACTAAGCGGAGCTAAGCTGTGTTATTTTATCTTAGGTAAGACTGGGATGTTACTGTGATTAAACTTAAGAGTAATATTGAAAAGTATTTTTATAGGCCTAAATCAGTGTTTCTGGGATATGACATCTACTTATTTGTGATTCTAAAATTCAGCTTTGGAAGAAAACTGTGCTGTGAAAAAAATCTGTTATTTCTTATGAAAAAATATTTACTAGAGAGAGGGGGAGAAAAGTGAGAGCATGTTGAAGCAAGTGATTTCCAATTCCACGTGGGAATGGGTCTTCATTTACTGTTTGGCTCTAGATTTTAATCTAAATCCATAGGCAAATGGGGACCATTTGTTGTTCCTCTCTTGACATGCGTTGATAGCATTAAGCTTCCCAGGAGAGTAAAGGAAGCCAAGTTATGGGCATCTCCTCTTCTTTGTTTTGTCTGGATGAAAATTCATTGAATTGAGAACTGATTTTATATTGTTTTGTGAATCATTCCTGTGGTAGGGGAAAAGCGGAGCATTACTCCAGCACTTCTAAGGGTTTTCCACAGAATCATTACATAAATCACACACTGCGCCAGTGTTTCTGGGCTTTGGGGGGACTTTGGAACTCCATTAGCGTAACGAGTGGAATTTTATTTAGTTTGACTCATACTGGTTTATAAAGTTTGGTACTTGTGGTTTTGTGGAAATTCAGTATGTCCTTGGTATTTATTATGGGATACAAAAAGATTTATGTGCAGTACTTAAGCAATATGGCAGAAGTACTCCTGAACTAGTTTTTAGTAGAGAAAAAAAATCCTGCAATGGATAGAGAAAAAACAACAGACAACTGCTCAGACCAAAGGTCTGTCTAGTCCAATATCTTTTTCTACCAGTGGCTACTGGTGAATGCCTGGCAAAAAATACAAGAACAGAGCAAACATGGCAGTCTTACTTCTCCTGTGTAATCATTCAGTAT